ATGTCTTTTTTGTCAGATGACATTATCTTTTTCAGCTCAGTGAAAAGACAATGTTGACAAGTATTGAGTATTATATTTAGCTTTTGGAAGTTAAGGGAGAGGATTTGTAAGGATATATATTTGCAATTTAATTCTTTTAATTTGAGGACAAAAATCATAATTCTGTGAAGAGTTAGTGCATGTTTTACATTAAGCCATATAGTATTCCATAAGATTCAAGTGGTTTGTGAAATGCTATATTCTAACTAGAAAGTGCCCACACCTAGTCCTGCTTAAGCTACTATCACTGTGTGTATAAGGTTCTGATGACGCATACATATGTGCACCCTGTGTAAGGAGCATGTAATAATCTACATGAAGGCATTTTTACAAATCAATTTTTATCCTCTGTTATAAGGTAAATTGGACTCCAGAGACTTGTGTATTTATTAAATTCAGTTTCTCTACTTGCTCATAAAATAAATCTACCCTATTTTTTTTTTTTAAAAACCAGTCCTATTTTTTTTTAAAAAACAATCCCCATGTATAAAACTAGAAACCCCGAAGGATACTTTTACTTTTTAGACTTCTCTGTAATCTATCTATCTATGTTTGGCATTTTAAGAAAGAAAAAGGTCTCAAGATGATAAGACCTTCTAAGACTTTACAAAATTCAAGGATGCTGGCATAATTTGAGGTAATAGCATATACTTTATTTTTTATTAAATAAATCTCTAAAAAATTTACTGTATCATGCAGGGTCCAGCTTGGAGACAAAAACGATACAGGAATTCAAGCAGAGTAAGTTGATCACAGGGAATTATTAATGAGTAACTAGGGATTAATTGCTGCTAAGATGTAAAGAGGAGTCCGGAGAACACAAGAAGAGCAGATAGAGGTGCAGCTGTCGCTGTGGCTAAGGCAGCGCCCCCGAGGTGGGGCACACTTGGGGAAAGTGTGCTATCTACAGGGCGGTGCTGAAGCTTGCAGGGTAACTGAGCACCACCAGGACTTCCAGTCGGTGAAGAACCCGCTTGCCGTACAGGAGAGCCAGGTTCATTCCTGGGGTCGGGAAGATGCCCCGGGGAAGGGAATGACAGCCCGCTCCAGTATTCTTGCCTGGAAAAATCCCATGGAAGGAGAAGCCTGGCGGGCGACAGTCCGCGGAGTCGCAAGTGTCAGCGGAGCGGGCCGACACTGCAGGGGTAAGAAAGGAGGAAAGCACACCGAATACCGAGACACTCCCGTCTTCGCCAGAGTCCCGCTATCGCCCCCTACTGACAACGTTTAGCGTTGTGAAAGTCGCTCAGTCGTGTCCGACTCGCTGTGATCCCATGGGCTATACAGTCGGTGGAATTCTCCAGGCCAGGAGCCTGGAGCGGGTAGCCTTTCCCTTTCCCAGGGGATCTTCCCAACCCAGGGATTGAACCCAGGTCTCCCGCATTGCAGGCGGATTCTTTGCCAGCTGAGTCACAAGGGAAGCCCCCTAGATAAATATTTAGAGGGCCCACCTTCAGTGCCACAAGGCTGGGTATTGAAGGGTAGATTTGGGTCTCAAAAGCAATAAATTGATAACTGGCACAATTACTGTTTTTTCAAATTTAAGTAGCAAACACAAATTTGAATTATTTAAATGAAAAAATTTGGAATGTGTTGCCACTCTAATCTGAAAAGTAACTGTAACCTTGTAGGGTTATTATGATATGATGATACATGATATAAACAAGGCCGGGCACCAAAGAACTGACTCTTTTGAACTGCGGTGCTGGAGAAGACTCTTGAGAGTTCCCTGGACTGCGAGGAGATCAAACCAGTCAATCCTAAAGGAAATCAACCCTGAATATTCATTGGAAGAACTGATACTGAAGCTGAAGCTCTAATACTTTGGCCATCTGATGAGAAGAGCCGACTCACTGGAAAAGACCCTGATGCTGGGAAAGACTGAGGGCAGGAGGAGAAGAGGATGACAGAGGATGAGATGGTTGGATGGTATCACTGACTCAACGGAGGTGAATCAGAGCAAACCCCAGGAAATAGTGGAGGACAGGGAGGCCTGGCTTGCTGCAGTCCATGGGGTCACAAAGAGACACGACTGAGGGACTGAACAATGACAAGAATAATGTAGGGAAATTAATATTTGTCTAGATGAATTCTTGGACACGTACTATTGTTTAGAAAGGGTAGTCTACAGGGTTAAATGGAAGCATTTTAATAACATGAAGACATTCGAATCTGAAAGATCAGAGAGATTACATAGTCCAATGCCCCAATTCTAGAAATTAGGAAGAGGCTGAAACCCAGAAGAATTCAATGGTTTGTTCAAGGCTCAAGAATTAGATAGTGAAAAATATTATCCATTTATGCCATGAATATTAATTCAATAAATGCTAAAACAGGTGTCAGATGTGGTTCCAGGTGCAGGATCCCAGCAGTGAACAAATTACATCGTGCATTCATGGAATTTACATTTAAGTTGAAAGAGTCAGACAAACAGATAAAAAGATAAGTGTGTATTAATAGTAATTCAGGTATTAGAAGTGCTAAGACAAAAAATAAATCAGGGTGAGAAGACAGAAAATAGTGTCAGTGAAAGGGATGGGAGAGGCTGTGTTATTTATGTTGGTGACGTTTGAGCAGACTCCTGAAGGGGGTTGTCCGAACTCTCAACCCCAAATATTCAAATAGATAAGAGCTCTTAGAAAATTTCATGTATTTTCTAATAATCATACCTTTTGTACTGGTATCATATTCTCGCGGATTTCTATCCTTTTAGCAATCAAGATGGGATAGTGACACCGCCTCCTCTCTCCCATCTTATTTTTAAAAGGATTTATTTTTATAAAGGTTATCTGTCTGTACCACGCTCCCGTGAATCCCACATCAGGTAACTAGGCAGATGCAGCTTGCAGGAAATCTGGTTACGATGGACACCAGCTACATTCCCACAACTCAGACTGACCACATATTTTGACAAGTTTCAACCAGTTTATAAGTTTCTGGCTCTTTAGATATTATCCAACTCCTCAGGGCAGTGTTGAGCATGCCAAAAATCATTCAACACCAAGTGCCCCACATAAGATGATATTTCAGCACTGAGATATTCCTTAATTATGTGTGTTTTCACTGTATATGTAAATAGGGGATACAAGTTGCTGAAATGCCATTAACAATGGCTGTTGAAATTTTGTATTTAGAAACTGTATGTACAGAAAGGGAGTTGAACATTTGATGGTTAATATGCAGTTGGGCTATTTCCTGACAAATACAGCTGATTTTAAGGTCAGTGTAACTGATATCACTGTCAAACTTTAAAACTTTAAGTAGGCAATGTAACCAACAGACATACAATTGAGTATTGGAAGCTGAAAGAAAAAAATATTTGTCATGATTATTTTGAAAACATCATTAGAACTTAACTTGATTTCAGCTGGACCTTTGGCAATACAACATGAAAATCTAAAACTAATCTTTATTTCCCTGTAACTGTTTATTCATCCTATCATAGCTTTTTTGGTTTGTAAGACTGGTAATCAATATAAACTAACTTACATTAACATTTTGATTTGTAAAAAATTTTCTTTTTTCAAAGGAGATTTAATTTTTATTAAAGTTTTATATTAGTTGAAACAAAATTGTTTTCTTTTGGAATAACTCATTGGTTATTAAAATCACTTTGTTGAACTGCTGTTTAACAGCATAAAGATAAATGAATATATCTCGAACTTAGTTGAAATTACAATACAAATGAAGACATTTTAATGTGTTTATTACCTTGTTTATTTCTCTATTTTAAGGAGACATTTTGTCATTAATTCAGCACACTGTGTAAGAGGGTTTAACTCTGAAAACAAATCACTCAAAATTCAAAGCATCATATGATGGGAACAATCACTTTAAAAATTCTAAAGTGGTCATCTCTTTTAACTCAGCATAAAAATCAAACTAATGCATCTCAATGTTTATCTTATAATGATCAAAAAACCAAAATCCCAGGTTAAAAAATATTACTTTCTTTGATTTTAAAAAGAAATGATAAATAATGTAATTAAAAGAGTAAAGAGACTATAAGAAAACTCAATGATAATTTTCTCTTATATTTCATTCTAAGAATTTTTTTACTTAGTTTTCTAAGCAAATCAGGTGAAAATTAGATGTGCTTAAAGGCCTCCTGGAAACATCCAATTACTGTCCTTACAGAAACCTTTTTCCTCAGTTACTCAATGAGAGAACTGCGAGGGCATTCAGTTATGTCGGCCACATTAAAGGGAAAAAAAATAATTCATAAAGAGCAATGAATGAAAAGGGACAAAAGTTTTAAACAAGTTCCTTGTCTCTTTTTAGTCCTCAGACACCTTATGTTGAATAGCCAGATCATTTTATTATTGCAAATGCCATGGTTGTAATCTTTTATTGCTTGCAGTATAGGCCTACAGCATTAAGTTAGTATAAAATTACATATAGTTTAATATATCTGTACAACACCTTTAAACAAGCTTCTCTAGGCAAGAAGGTTATCCGTCTTATAAATCTATTATTCCATTGTACATCTTGATAGCCTAGCATAGCTCCTAGCCATGTTTAAGCATTAAATAGTGCATTATTATTTCACATAAATCAACTCAGAGATGTGTGAATTCATAAATTTTGCATTTGCACAGACAGTATTTTAAACGTTTTACTGCTTCGTGGGAACTCAGAGCATAAGCCGGTACACAAATCAGGACCTGAGAAATTTCAATAAAATTTAATATCACAATTACATTTTCTCAAAGTCGACACATGCATAGTTTAGAAGTATTTTAACTGAGTCCAAAAATAAAAGTAGATTTAAAGAATCAGAGTCTAGTCAGTTTTTGTTTTTTAAATTAATAAGCACTTTGGCTCATTCCTTATGACAAATGATATAAAAAGAATAAGACCTTATAGAAATTTGAAATGAAGGAAAAATATGTCAAAATCATAAATTCTGATGATTGTAATTTATTAAAACTAATGCAGGTAGAAAGTGGTATAGGGTTGATAAGTTTATATTACAATTAAAATATAGCTTTATAGTTTGAACCTGAATTTAATTTTAAAAAGTCATAATTTAGGCTCTAAGTTACATGAGGGTAAGAAGTATGACATTTCTAAGGATTTCTATTTCTAGGTGATTCTCTCTGATGTGTAACAGAGCGATAGTCTTTTTCCTGTTTCTAGGCTTTTTTGGGGATGACGATGTTTGCTGTTTCTTCACAGTTTTCATTATTTTTCCTAGGAAATGTTCCATTTAAGATTTTCACTTCTGTGGGAAAATGTTTATAAAATTTAATGCACAGGAGTTAAAGGTTCCAGGAAGGTTTCTACTTTAATTTGTGTGTGTGGTGAAAAATTACATTCCTGTTGAAATAGTTCCTGATGCATGTAATTAACTGAACAAAAGCCACACTAATTTGAAAATGGTGTTTATCACCTAGAAACAGGTGATGAAGAAAGATAAATTGCTGTGAAAGTTGGAACTTGCTTCCAGTCCTTGTCAAATTCTGGGCAGAAAGCTGAAAGAAAGGAAGAGAAAGAGAAAAAGAAAACATTGTCAGGAAATTTTTTGGACAGTTTTTACTGAGACTTTGTAAAGAGTTACCACTAGGTTATTCCTGGGGAAATAAGTGAAAAGAGGATAAATAAAATAATATCCTACTATGGGCCTTTTTTTTTTTTTTTTTTTTGTAGTGAGAGATTTTGTTTTTATGATGAAGATTTATTACATTAGGGGAGTGGTTTCTGCTCTGCTTTATGAACTTTTGATATTTTCTCTGCCTTCTGAATCCTGCCCTTTTCCCCCGATGGACTAAAAAGTTCAAGCCTAAGGTTAACAGTACCAGAGATCATTGTTTAGAGCTTAATCTTTTTCAAGTGATAAGCAAAAGACAGACACAGTGAGTTTTTAAGGACCCTACAGCTACTTGAAGTAATGACAAGTATTACCATACCCAGGCAGGCTTTGGAATGTGAGAAGAAACAGATCTAGTTACTTACCATCCATAAAAAAGCTAATGGAAGCTTCTCTCTTACTCTGATGAATGTTGAAAATGGAGTGACTTAAATAAAAAATCACTTCCCTTATTATGATGTTTGACTATTTAGCATTCATTGGTTCAGGGTCCATTTAGTTTCTGATGTTATTTCTATTTCTAGTTTCCTTTTTTTTTGTGTGAAAGTTTCATCTGATTATCTGGGTCTACACTATCAAAGATATAAGGGAAAACATGATTCATTATAGAAATTACATTTTCTGAGCTAAGCCAGAAGGCACTGTCCTTACTCCAGCTCTTGTATAAGCAAGACTTAGTGTTATGCATATGTTTTATGTGTATAGAATGTTTACTTAGCAATATATATATTTATACCACACAAGTGGCCCATACTACCATTACATAAATCCCTCTATTTTTCAAAGGCTATGTGGAAACAATTGATGACTGAAGAAGAGTCATGAATAAATAAACATGCTTAAAAAATTTCCAGTGTGTGTCAGCACCATTTAAATATGTCCTTTTCTCATAGCACTAACTTGCTGGTTAGAGGAGAAATTAGAAGAAAAAGATGGACAATGAATATCTTGAACTCTGAAGCAATGAATTTGCTTCATCTTTTTTTTTAAAAAAGGGTGCAAAAAAAGAAAATTCCAATTGAAAATAAAAGGAACCCTTGGTTCCAAAAACCATAGATTCACTCTCTATTGGAAAAACCACAATTAAATTTTTAAAAATAAACTTTAGCACACCATACATAGAAAGCACTGTTTTGTGTTTTGTTGCTCTGTTTTCTGTTTATGTTTTCATTAATTCATCTCAAATAAAATGTCTAGGTTTAAGTAGAAATCAAGATGGTGGGACGAAAACAAATCAAGAATTGGTTGGTCTTAATTTTCATAAGTTTGGCCTTTATCTGTTTTGATAGACGTGTTCATTAAAGATGTATTTGTAAGCCGTTATGCTTAAAAGCGCCATGTCTTTTGTACAATTTATCTCCTCAGATGAGCTATATGTTTAATATACCTTAGGTTGTTATTAGAATTTGTGCAGCTAGATAATAGTAATGTAATATTAGTGCCTTTTATTGAAAACAAAACCACCTTTTATTATCATTTTTTCACCAACTAGGATGGTTATAGTTTTTTAACTGAAGTATAGCTGACTTACAGTATTGTAGGCATTTTGGGTGTAAGGCAAATTAACTTATATGTACAGAGATTTCATTAAATATGTAGATTGCTTTGGGGTAATATGTCCATTTTGGCAATATTGATTTTTCAATCCAAAAATGCAAAGAACCATATTTTATAAATAAAGCTGACCACTATAGGAAAGTACGCAGTAGGATTTTTTTTGTTTTCTGTTTGTGATGAGCTATTTAAAAGGCTGAGAGGCAATATGGTATAGGAGAAAGATACTTTAGTGTCATAGCACTTTGGTTAGGTAACAGACTATCATTTTACACTTTCAGGCAGACATGGCTAACTGTCCACCAAGTTTCCATACCTTAGAGAGATGGCTGCCAAGCATGTACTCTGCTAGAATATAAGTCCCAATGTTACTCTATCCTTTGCATATATAGGAGGTCATGGGGTGTGGGAACTAATGTATGTCACTTCTGGGTCAAACCTTGAGAAGTGGGTGCGTTGTTGTCCTTTTCTTCTACCTCTTCCTGAAGCAAAAGGCTCTGAGACCTTAGAAAAGGGTAGAATCACAAGAGAGGAGAATTCATGAATATCTTTGTCAGTTGACTCAAATACTGACAAGTTCTGAAATATTAGAGTTTGGTATAGCAGATAACATTACTGTGCAAACTAATACAAGCAATGTAAAATCTTGGGGAATCCACTTAATATCAGACAGCTTTGTTTTTTCCATATCATAAATGCAATAATTTACAGTACGAATAGATACATTAGGAGGAACCCTCCCGAAAGAGTTGCTGGAAACATTAAATGAGATAATACGCAACAAGATGTTTTATAGGCACTAAGCAATTACTTAAAATTAGCCATTCTTTTTTTCTTTTGCTTGCCTTCACTGCTACAAATCACTCACAGGAATTGGTGTGTGTTTTAGCCCTATATTCTGGAACATCATAGACGTTGCTTACAGCTCTTCTTTGCCCGAGGCTAAATTCACTAATGTAAAAGACAACTCCTTAATACCATACTTGAACTCTCTCTTTCTTAAACCATTAACACTATACTTTGAGCCTGTCTTTTCTATTAATAAATAATTGATGACAGTATCTTACTCTGCTGTGAAGAGTAATCAATGCACTATGGCCTTTTCTGTAGTATTTCATTATTTTTACAGGCATCTGCTTGCTGTCAGGCATTGTCCTTTGTTTGTGTCATTTTACAACATTAGGAAGTCGGTGCGTTCTTTCCTATTGTCCATAGTCATGTAGCCAGTAAATGTGACTGTTGGCATTCAAACTTCTTTCAGTTTAACTCCAATTATACGGATTATACCATTGTGTCTTCACATATGAAGTGATTGATGTCGTTTCCTCCCTGAATCCAGAGTACGCAGAGAGCTAGAATTTGGTAGTTCACCGCTCTCTGTACAGCAAAGGGCCTTGAATGTGAACGGGACCAGAAATAGAATCCTTGAGGAAGCATCACTTCTAGGGGAAATTGGATACACGGATAAGAAATGGTACCCTTTGGATATGTTACAATGAAGGCAAAGAAGTAAATAAGAGGCAAGAAATTAAGACTCTGTAGAAAGGAAAGTGAAAAAATGGTAATAGCTTCACCTACTCCCTCTCATTATACATGAAAGGATCTATATTTTATTAAACAGAAGAGGGCACTCTTGAACTAGTAACCCCACTCATGAATTAATAGGAATTAAAAAGAAAGCTGATTACACTCATACAAAGCAACTGTAAGAAGAAAACAGAAAATCTGAAGCATATAATTGCAGATGTTGAATATTTTCTCCTCCTTTCCAAAAAACATCTGTAAAACAGAAAAGTGTAACACATATGACACAGTGTAACAGTGTAACACAGTATCTCAAACTGGAATGAATATTCTCTTTACATTTAGAGATAACTTCAAAAATACACCTTGAGTCTGAAGCTAAAAATCTAATAACATATGAATGGATACAAAAAAGGGGGTTTCCCAAGTAGCTCAGCGGTAAAGAATCTGCCTGCCAATACAGGAGACGCAGGAGATGTGGATTCCATCTTTGAGTCAGGAAGATCCCCTAGAAGATGATATGGCAATCTGCTCCAGAATTCTTGCCTAGAAAATCCCATTGACAGAGGAGACTGGCGGGCTACAGTCCATGAAGTTGCAAAGAATCAGATACAACTGAGAGACTGAGCATGCACGTATATAAGAAAGATGAAACTAAATAAGAGCTGAGTGATTTCAATAATTAGAAGAGAAAGAAAAAAAAGTCAGAAATGGAGACTACATTATGTAATTTAAAATTAAGAGTATTGTTCCCATCCTAACAGGGTCGGAAAATCAGATAATCGAAACCTCCCCAGGCCTAGGGACTATTCTATGAATATAGCTAGGACTGGAAAGTAATGGCAGGAAGATAATAAATATATGGATAGTAGCTGAGTTGGTTGAAAGGGAAAGGTAAAAAAATACTGTACTCCATAGGTGGCTTGAGTGGGAGACTGGAACCTCTTCTTTTCCTAGGATCTTATACTGTGTATATACCTATAATTATTTCATTAGAGGCTTGCTACTTGTGGAGGAGAGTAAATTCCTGCCTAAGACTAACCGTAGACTCAAGTCAGGGTTTTGCTGCCATGGAGAACAAGCGGAAACCCCGCCTTTGGGATCCTGGCACCCAGAGAACTCTTCCCGTTTCCCAGCAAGAGCAGGGAGCAGCGAACAAGAGCAGTCTGTGACTGGGAGAAGTGCAAAAGCTTGAAGAAACATCAGCCACGTGGTGGAGATGTGAAGGAAGGAGGGAAAGCTGTGCTGGAGCAAACATTCTGAGGAAGGCCTCTGGTACCCTAAGCCCTGCCCTAAAGCACGAGGCAATGGTAGCCCACCTGTGAAGAAATGAAGCCTATGGCATCAGAAAGGTAACCACAGTGACATCAAAACCCAAATCCTGCTCACCTCTTGACTAACTTGACTCAGATCCTGACACTGATGAGCTAATAGTTATTAATGACAAAAGTTGTCACAAGAGAATAAATACCATAAGTGATATTGACCTTAGTCTGCATTGATCTCCACACTATATTTCTACTGGTTAAATAAAAATATATACTATACACAGAAAGCAAGGAAAAGCGACCCTTTGTCAGTAGACAAAGCAAGCAACAGAACCAGACTCAGAGATTATCAAGAGGTCAGAACTGTTAGAGGTCTAAAAATAACTATAATGACTATGTTAAGAGATTTAATGGAAAAGATGGACAACATGTATGACCAGATGGGAATTTTAAAGAGAAAGCCAGACTTTACAATAATGTAATTAAAGAGAAATGCTAGAATTAGACACATATACACATGTGTACACACGACATCAAACTTGAAGAATGCCTTTAAATAGTTCAGCAAATAAACTGATACTACTGAGGGAACTATCAGGGAGGAAAACATTAGGAAACTATTTTTCCTAAAAATAATTTAAACTGACACGCAGACAAAAAAGTATGTGAAAAGGAGCAGAGAATCCAGAAGCTGTGTGATAATATCAAATGTTCTAAGAGAACTTTGGCTGTATTCTAGATAGAATGGAGTGAGAGAAAGATTAAAAATGGGTAGAGGAAATATTTAAAAATTAATAGATTAGAATTTTCCAAAAAATGAAAGATATCAAACCACAGATTCAACAAACTTTAAGAATCTAAAGCAGGACACACACACTCATCAGATCTTAATGAAATGCTTAAAACCAAAGATAAAAAGAAAATCTTGAAGGAAGCCACAGAAAAAATGATCAAGTACAGAGAAAGGAGCAAACTGCTTTTTAGACAGTTTGTCAGAAATTATGCAATAGTATAGAGACTGACAAATTGATTGTAAAGTATATATAAATGTGCGAAGGATATGGAATAGTCAAAACTATTTTCATTTTTTGAAAGGAGCTGCATTGGAGCTCACTACCTGATTTTATGGCTAACTATAAAGTTATAATAATCAAAGCAGTGTGTTATTTACAAATAGAAGCAGCTTAATAGAAGGGAACAGAAAGAAACAGACACCTATTGGCCAATTAATTTTTAATTAGGTAATTTAATGGTAAAAGAATATTACTTTAAAAATATAGTATTGGAAAAATTGGACATCCATATGAAAAAAAGCCAGCAAAACAAAACAGAAAACTTCAACTATGCTTCATACCAAATACAAAAATGAACTTGAAATTGGAAATAGACTTAACGTAAAACTGTACCAAATACTAAACTATAAAACATAGGGGGAATCTTTGTGACCTTGAATTAGGGAACGATTTCTTAGGCAGAAAACAGAAGGCCAAAACCATAAAAGGGGAAAAAATGTTAAAAATACATAACTGAAAAACACTTTTCTCCAGAACATATAAAGAACCTTCATAACTCAGTAATCAGAAAATAAAAAACCTAATTAAAAATAGGCATTAGTATTGGAACAGAGATTCACCAGTATGGAGATATGGATCACAAGTAAGTATATAAAAATATGCTCAACACCATTTTTCATTAGAAAAGTGCGGATTTCAACCATCATAAGATCACACAAGAGAGAAGAAAACACATACACATCTGGATTTATTTATAATTGCTCCAAACGAGAAACAACCCAAATGTCCACTACCTGATGAGTGTAAACAGTCTTCTGTTCTATTCCTGTTCAACAGTGCATCAACTAAATGGCAAAAACAATAGCAGAAAGTAATTTGGTGGGTTTTTTTTTTTTTTGACATATTCTCCCCTTCACCATATTATCAACATGATAGAAAATAAAAAGAAAAAAGTTCTGCAACCATGGTTCTTAATTTACCATTTTACATACTGTGCAGATGTATCCTTGTGTATATTGCAGAATTTGTTAGGAACCTGGAATTCTCTCACAATAAAATACATTGAAGTTAAATTGCATTAGTTACAACATGATCATTTCTGAAATTTTGCTGTCCTAAAAACAGATTACAGAAATTTAAGGCTTTTATACCTTTTCCTGAGTGTTAGGTTCCTGCGTATTTTTTAAAATTATTGGATACATGTTGTAAATCATGTCCAAAAATACTAATGCTGCAACCCCTTGGGTGACAAATGACATAATGCAAGAGAGACTTACTCTCATGGCTGTTCCCTTCCACTGCTGTCTTGTCTTGGCCCCTGAAGTGTTGTGCACAATGAGGTAGGTTTGAGTGTGGAGACAGTGGAAAGGCTGTCAAACTCTGGTGTAGCTCAGAGAAGCAGACCTCCAGGGTGGATCTTTTGACAGGACCTTTGTGGTAGATGTGTGTGTGTGTGTGTGTGTGCGCACATACTCAGTTCTGCAGCCCAGGAAAATCTACAAGTGGAGCAGCAGATAAAAGTGGAGCAGAAGACCTTCAAACATAGCTTTTGTTGTTGCTTAATTGCTCAGTCATGCTTATGATTCTTCTGCAACCCCGTGGACTGTAGGCCACCAGGCTCCTCTGTCCATGGGATTCTCTAGGCAAGAACACTGGAGTGGGTTTCCATTTCCTACTCCAGGGGCTCTTCCCAACCTGAGGATCGGACCCATGCCTCTTGCATCTCCTCCACTGGCAGGCAGATTCTTTACCACTGCATTATCTGGTTCATTATGTCAAATATCATTCCCCATCTCCCTATTTTCCAGTAGCTTCTTTAAAATGTGCACAAATTAGAAATTTCTACAAATTAGAAAGACCATCAGGCTTTCAAGCAATCCCTAGTTAAAGATCAGAGAATTCTGCAGAATTTTAAGCTTCCTTAAAATGACGTTCATCTGTTAGTATGACTTCATTTCACATACCTAGCTAGGATCAGGAGTGGTGGGTTGATCAAGGGGAGAGTTTGGTAATTTGGAGATCAGGACAGGCTTGGAGAGATTGCTGAGGAGAGGTTTCACCAACAGGATGGGGATTCATGTGTCTATAGGGGGAGCATTGAGATACTAAGGAATTCACAGGATGCTTCCCTTCTTTCTCTTTGGTTAGCAACTCCTACATCCTACATATGCTCCCAGAACACTGAATTCCAATCAACTTATTTAATAACAAGGAATAGGGAAGTGAACCAAGAATATGTCGAGCCCCTAGATTCCATAGACCAGAAAGACCACATTAGACCACATGCTCAAAACCTTACTAAATGCTTTCTGTTAACTTACACAATCCTCACAAAAAGTCCAGAACACGAGAAATGTGAGATTTATTTGTACTGTGAGCTCAATAAACCTCCTGAGCAGCTTGACCTAACAATGGCAAGGACAGAACTGTTTCTTTTCTGGAAATACTCCCTTTGGATTCTATAACCAAACCTTTGGAAGGGGAACTATTTAACTGTCTGTAGTTGCATTTTTATCAGTAATGTGTAGCAGTTAAATAGGCACTGTGTGTTGTCATTTCTTTAGGGGGACCTCTGTGTTCCAGAGAACAGTAAAGAATGCCACCTATGACGCCACACAGTAGACCCTTGGTTTTATATACTTCCTTGCTGTTGTTGTTGAGTTGCTGAGTCATGTCTGACTCTGTTGTGACCCATGGACTGGACTGTAGCCTGCCAGGCTCTTCTGTCCATGGGATTTCCCAGGCAAGAATATGGGAGTGGGTTGCCTTTTCCTTCTCAAGGGCATCTTCCTGACCCAGAGACCAAACCTGTGTCTCTGGCATTGGCAGGCGGATTCTTTACCACTGAGCCACTCTCCCTCTGCCTATAAAAATCCTCAAATTAACAATCGGAGTAAACATAAATGTCCTTTCCTCTTCATATTCCCAAATATCATCCATAGGGAGTTTATGACTATTTGAAATGCTCACCGGCAGCTGTACTTATGCGTAGCATCTGCTGGGAACTCTTCCTTAGTTAATTCACCAACCAGTTCATAAAACATCCTGGCTGTGATTTTCCTTGGAACTATGATATATGGCACTGTATTGAAGCTGACTTATAAAATGTATACTACTTGTTTCT